CCTTCTCAATTGAGGGTTGGCTTTTTGTTTGGTTGGTTTTGTTTCTTTGTTTTTCTTTGTGGTTTTTTGTTTTTGTTTATTTGTTTGTTTTATGCCCAAAAGCCTTAATGTTGGGTCTTCTAGAGATAAAGGTGCTTGCCACTGCAAACAATGCAAGCCTGAGATTTCGAGTCTGATTCCCAGAATTCATGTAAAATTAGAAGGAGGGAACCAACTCCACAAAGTTGTCCCCTGACATTCACATACCATCTCTGCCCCCACCACACACACAAAATACTAATCAAATATTTTTAAAAATTCAGTGTTTTAAGCAAGTTCAGACTGGGATGCCTTCATAACTATCCTTGGCTGGATGCAGTCCATGGGTTTGAGTGGAACATACCTCAGAGTCTGATATGATACCAACTCCTTCAGTATTAGGACCTGCATTAGACAAAAGACTCTGCAAGCCATGGTGGAAAGTAAGTGGTTATGTGACTGATTCTTTTACAGAGACCTTAATACTCATCTTGCTCTCACTTCATAGGTGATTTTGAGGAAACAAGTGACCGTGTTGGGGAACCCCACATTGCAAGAAACTTGCAGATGGTCTCTGAGAGCTGGGGCGGGGGGTCTCCCAATGGTAAGAAGCCAAAGCCCTCACCAGTACAAAGCAGGAAACTGAATTCTTCTGATAACGAGTGAAATTAAGAACATGGTCACTGGAACTTCAGATAAATCAACAACTGGCACCAGTTTTAATTGCAATCTGGTAAAACTCTAAGCTATGCCAAGACTCCTGACCTATGGAAACCACCAGGCAACAAATGTTTTCTGCCATCAGGCTATAATATTAATATTACAAAATGTCTTGGTGTCGTGGGTCATTAAGTGCATGTAGCCTAAACCACCAATATCCATTTTTCACAACGGATATGGAATGCCTAACGTAAAGAAGGCATAGGTCAGTTTGGTCCCTGGTAAGGGCTAGAGGGCTTCATGGCTGGCAGATGGCTGCATTCTTGTTCTGTTCTGTTCTGTTCTCATAGGGGATCATTGAGACAGACAGTGACTGATTTCTTCTTATAGGGGTCCAAATCCATCTCGGAGACTCTAACACACACACACACACACACATATTTCCCCAGGAGAATTGAAAAGCTTTTTTTTTCTTTTTCTTAAATTCAGAGGCAGACATGCATATACTATGTAAAATTACTTAGTCTGCAAGCAGGACAGAAGCTAGCTATTAAACAGACTGATGAGAATTTAAGCCTTGTAATTCTCTCAAAACATGTGGTATCACTCCTTGTATGAGCAGCAACCATCCACCCATGCATGGTGACGTCACCAAGCACAGGCACCACCGGCACGGGACTACACAGCTATATCACTGAAGACTGTTAAAAGGTAATTCCCTAGTTGTGTGTTGTGGTAGTGAGTTAGATCCCACTCACAGAACTGCTATTTGGTGCACCAAACTCTACTCGAGCTGTTATTTCAAGGTTCTTGCCTCTTAATTTTGTAACCTTAGCCACAAAGGTCTTAGAGGTAAAAAGAGTAAATTTGCTAGTTAAAATAAAAATTGAGGAGCAACAACTGGATAGTCAAGGTATTAAATTTATTACTACTCTTATCTTTTATTAGTCTCTCTGTGTACCTATTTTCTAGTTTTGGAGTTTTGTTTTTGTTTTTGTTTTTTTGGGTTTTTTCGAGACAGGGTTTCTCTGTGTGGCCCTGGCTGTCCTGGAACTCACTCTGTAGACCAGGTTGGCCTCGAACTCAGAAATCCACCTGCCTCTGCCTCCCAGGTGCTGGGATTAAAGGCGTGCACCACCACCGCCCGGCTCTCCTAGTTTTAAAGTTTTGATGTGTGTGCGTGTGTGTACAACAGTACATGTGTGGAGTTGTTAATTGCATGCTACCATCTGAGTCCTGATATTGGGATCAGGTCATCAGGCTTGGTAACTAGTGTCTTTACCCAGGAAGGTATCCCTCAAGGCCTTCAGTTTAATATCTAACTGTAGCACTTTTCTTGGGATTAAATAGGAAACAATAAGCCGGGCAGTGGTGGCGCACACCCTTAATCCCAGTACTTGGGAGGCAGAGGCAGGCGGATTTCTGAGTTCGAGGCCAGCCTAGTCTACATAGTGAGTTCTAGGACAGCCAGGGCTATACAGAGAAACCTTGTCTTAAAAAAAAAAAAAAAAAAAAAGGCGTTCAAATAAAGTCATATGGTGTTAAAAAATAAATAGGAAACAATAATTGCATATGTTTTGTATTCTTAATTTCCACTTAATATAAAATAAAACATCTCAGTGTGCAAGCATGTGGGCTGAGAAAGAAAAGTGACATTTAATGCTTACTGGTTCATCAGAAGGAAAAAGTAACCCACATGTATAAGTTAGTCAGACCATCTGAAAAAGGAGTTAAGTTGATGAGTACAAATTAGTAAATGTTTCCCATTAGAAAGGAGATCTTTTGTTTGTTTTTTAAAGCAGGACCTTGCTCTGAGTCAGAGGCTGGCCTTGAACTCTGTTTCTTCCTGCTTTGGCCTCCTGAGTGCTGGAAATGTGTTTCATCCTTCCCAGATTGCTCTTTATTTTGTTCATGAGTAGGCTGCTTTACCTCAAAGAAGCAGCTATTGTAGGTCATAGTGCTCAAGAGATAGCCAAGGGTTTATTACAGTCTCAGAAACATCTAGTTAGAAGATGCAAGGGGCAAGAGAGTCTTTTCCCTGAGGCCTGCCACTAGTAAGGACATCGTGCAGGAGGCTGTTGTAATCAGTGCCACTTACACACACACACACACACACACACACACACACACACACACACACACACGGGATAAGAGACAGTTTATTCTGAAAACAAATATGGGTGATTATGGTCTGGGAACAGTTTCACACTACCCTAAATCCTACATTCCAATATGGTGATACAATACTCCCATGTAGTTTTATAGTAAAGAAACAAAATCATAAATCAAGACACTTTCCACATACAGTGGTAAAACAGTAGGTAGACAGGTCACAGGAAGGCAAAAAAAAAAAAAAAATCTCAGCCATAGCCTCAGATGGTATCTGATGATCTTCTCAGCCTTTTGGATGGTGGAACTGGGAGAGGTGGGGGAGGGGGTCTGTTCCTACATTGCAAAGGATTTATCTAATACTCACAAAGATGTTAGATCACATACAGAAGGGGGCCAATAAATGACCACTAAGTGGGGACTAAAGCTGCTCCAAGACTACTTGGCTATAATCTAGCAAACGTCCACCCTTACTACATCTCTTAAAGTTCTAATCAGTTGATCAGTCTTACAGGAAGTTCAGAGGAATGTGTGGTTCATGCCAGGAATTTTCCTTCACAAAGGGAAAAATGGGAGGAAATTTTATCAGTTGTAAAAAAAAAGTTTCATTTTTTTCTTCTTCTTTTGGCCTACAATTTGTATAAATCTCAGTCCTCACAATCCTTACATTTTCCAGTTCTCTCCTTTCTCTTCTTTGTTCGTTTATTCTACACACAAATGCTGTAGCACCAGTAAATACAGGCCAGTGGTTTTAAAATGAAAGTACTTTGCCTTTAGATACATTGCACAGGATAGTAAATAGAACATGGGGAGACGTGGGACCTTATGAGCTATGTAGCACTGAATGAATTATATGCACTCTGAACCGCAGTTTGTGTTGAAGATTAAATGCCTCTCACACTCAACACTACACACGGAAGCTAGGATGCTGAAGATTATACTGTTTCTACCTGAATTTAAGAAATGCCAGGAAAAGCTATTTTAAATTCTATTAATTGATGTAGTGATAATTTATAATAAAAGCAGTTTAGAAGCTGAGGGTATGTAACTCAGTTTGTAGACTATTTGCCTAACATGCAGGAAGTCCTTATACACCAGGAATGGACAGCACGCACTTGTAATTCCAACATTTAATGATCAGCTCAGGGTCATCCACACAGCATTTAAGGCCAGCTTAGGCTACAGACCTTGTCTAGTAATGTTTACATTAAACTAAAACCGCTTTTGGGAGCAGAAGAGATGGCTCAGTGATTAAGAGCACTGACTACTCTTCCAGAGGTCCTGAGTTCAATTTCCAGCAACCACATGGTGGCTCACAACCATCTGTAATGGGGATCGGATGCTCTCTTCTGGTGTGTCTGAAGACAGCAATAGTGTATTCATATAAATAAATAAATCTAAATCAGTAAAACCACCCCCCCAACTCACAGCTGGTTTAAGGAAGCCACTCAAACATGTGCCAAATGCCAAACGCTGTACATTTTAGTGAACTTGTATATGGTTAAAATGGCTCATTTGAAGTGATGGAGCTCCACTGAGGGGGTTATATTTTCAGTATCAGTAAAGAAATCTTCATATCATATCTTCTTTCATAACTACTGCATCATGATATATTAGCTGAATATTTAGCATATATGCCAGAGAGAAATAGGAGGTAGGGGACCTTTGTACCTAACATCTGCAGACTATATATGAGAGGGGAGGGCAGGAAGAAAGATCATAAAATGCCCCAGGGTGGAACCTGGATTTGTTACTGGTTGTCCAGTACCAAAAGGTCAGCCCTAAAAATATAAATACAAGTAGCATTATACTGGACTGAACCGGGTTATATAGGAATATATATATATATATATATGAATATATATATATGAATATATATATATGAATATATATATATGAATATATATATGAATATACATGTATACATATGCATGCAATAAAAACTAGGGAGGAAAAGGCCATGAATTTGAAAGATAGTGGGGAACGGGTATGTATATGTGAGGGTTTGTAGAAAGGAAAGGGAAAGGGGAAATGTTGTGATTAAATTACAATCTCAAAAACAAAAAACAAAAACAAAACCTCTCTAGGTGACCTTTTAACCTTTGCGCCTGCGCTACAGCCACGCCCTTGGAGCAAGGCCTTGTACCACTTTTGCGCACGCGCTTCTTAGGCTCGCTTCCGTCTGGAGAGGCGGGACTTCCTGTCCTCTTTCGCTTCACTGCGGAAGTGAATACAGCCGGCGCAAGTTGGTCGGAGTTTCGGAGCTTTGCGCGTGTGAGCTCGGTGTTGCTTTCGCCTGGAAAGATGCCTGGACTGGCTGCCGCTAGCCCTGTCCCGCCCGAAGCTCAGGAGAAGAAGCCTCTGAAGCCCTGCTGTGCCTGCCCGGAGACCAAGAAGGCTCGTGATGCGTGGTCAGTGCGCAGCCGGGGAGGGAAGCCCGGGCTTCCGCAGCTTGGCTCCGCTCTACTTTCTGGCATTCTGGAGTTACGGGGACCCATAATTTCGCTGTCCTCTCGGTTCCCTGAACCCGCATCTCAGTCTCAGTCAGGGGTCAGTCAGTTTAGATTGGCCCTAAAGTTCACGTCCTTCATTCCTTGCTACGAATGCATTTTAGGCTTCTTAAGTATAAGACCCAGATAAATAGAAGTGCGTCAGATGGTCCTTGATTTAAAGGCACTTAAAATATGTGGAGACTTGTTACCAGCCAGTACTATACCACCAGCTGTGATAGATTTACTCAGACCCAGGTGTAAAATTTTCAGGTAATCTTTAGTAATTGTTTTTTCTTCTGAAACATGTGAATAGTAGAACACAGGATACATTTCTGAAGGGATACCTTTTCCCAGAAGTTAGAAGTCACCTGTCTGGGTCTGGAGAGATAAAAGCCCTCATTGACCTTCCAGAGGGCCTGGCTTCGAGTCCCAGCGCCCACACGATGGCTAACAATCTTCTGTAATTCCAGCCCCAGAAGAATCCGACACCCTCTTCACACAGGTATATGTGCAGGCAAAACACTTATACACATAAAATAAACAAATTGTAAAGAGTCAGGATAGGTGATATTAATGTTTGTCACTTTCTCATCAAGTCACAGAAGGTTTTGTTTGGTCTCCACTTTTATGTAGCCTCAATTCTGGAGCAGGTACTGGAGTCCTCATTGTAAATATGCATCAAAGTAGAAAAATACTCGTAGAAACAAATATGGAGTGGATGCTCATGCTGTACTCTCATTACTGGGGAGACTTAAACAGTTTAAGTCTAGCCTGAGCATCAGAGTGAGACCATGTCTCAAAAAAAAAAAAACCCACAAAACAAAGTTGGTATAGTAAGGTAATAAGAGTGCACCCCAGTTATTTTATTATCACTACTTTTCAAGCCATATTGTAAACGGAGGATTTAAAGATTGGTCTGATACCAAGGTTCCTGAAGTGGTAGTACCTGCTTAAGGAGACTTTGGTGTGGCTCAAGACTCAGAGCTTAGAAATACAGGCAGGCTTTGAACCCTGGTCCTCCTGGCCTTAGGCAAGGTACTTAACAAGTCTGCCTCACACAGGTGTTGAGTGAGTCCAATATTTCTGTAAGATTTAGCAGTGAGTGTAAGTGGTGAGGGAAAGCTAAAGCTAGCTATTATACAGGACTCACTGCCCCACCCTGTCTTCTGATCCACTGGTAAGGATTTTAATAGTAAAACCTATTCCCCACTCTTTCTGAGACATGGTCTTGACATGTAGCCCAAGCTGGCCTCCTACTTAGGAGTCTCCAGCCTTAGCTTCCCAAACTTGGTAACAGCTGTTTGTCAGCACATTCTGGCCCTTGTGATTACTCTGGATTTTATCATCAAGTTCCTTAATCTTCCAAAGAATGATTCGTCTTGGGGGCTCGTGGCTACCAGGTCTTTTTTTGATGTTTATGTTGTTGGGTGTTTAATAATTAAAAGTAGGCTTAGGTGTTTGAATGTAAGGAGAAGCAGGAAATTAATGCCTTGTCATTTTATGTAAATATTCAGTTTACTTCATTATAAGGAAATGTTTGTTATTCCCAGAGTATAGACTAAAGGCATCATTTGCTATACATAATTATTTCAACTAATTAGAACCTTCCTCAAAAAACAAACTTCAAAACCTTAGTTCTGTGGAGCTCCTTTGTGGGAACAGAGCCATCTTAAGAGCAAACACAGAGAGCAAAGATGCTGAGCTTTTGGTATAGTAGAGTTTTGTTTGTAACTCCAGCTACATTCTGCATATGCACTGTCTCACTCTCCTGTCACAGATTCTCCATAAATGCACTTGTCGTCTATTTATTAGGTAACAAGTGCACTTTATTTTATAGCATCATTGAGAAAGGAGAAGAACACTGTGGACATCTCATTGAGGCCCACAAGGAGTGCATGAGAGCCCTGGGATTTAAGATATGACATGGTGAGTGAACTGTATTGCATCATTTGAGTGTTACCTGACAGCGTTAGCTACCAGGCAACATTCTCCCTCCGAATGGTAGCTTGCCTGGTTAACCTAGCATGTTTAAGTAGCAGCTAAAAATAACGTTTCAGTTTCTAGAATGAGGCTGCAACAGTAAATCTGAGACAGAGTCTGAAGTTTTTGAGAACTGGTTTCACAAGAGCCTTTAGAGTTATAGTCAGGGAGACGCATAGCTGCAGGGAGTTCAGAATACTGTTTTCCAAGGTAAAGGAACTAAGTGGAAAATACTCTTTGTTTCTTGTCTCTAATAAGGGTCTGCAGTCGACAGTGTTACTTTTTTTCCAATGAAAATGAAAGCTTTGTTTTAAACCGGGCTTTGTTCTAATAAAACTAATGCTCAGACCAGTTTTTGAAGAACTTTGAATTGAAATATCAGTGTCAAGAGGGATGTGTGTAACAGGACCACAGTCCATGACTTCTGGTTGGAATCTCTTGCTTCAGGTGTTAACCTCACTCACTAGTACACTTTTTTCCAGAAGCTCATTTAAAGTCTTGTTAGAGAGGCTTTCCTCGGTGCCCCATGAAAAGTAGTTCCCTTCCCTGTCACTGTTCCAGCTGTATCCAGTAGGCCTTCCCAGGTGTTCTGGGGCCACATTCTCCAGTATGGTAGCCACTAGCAATGTGTGACTATTAAGCACTTGAATTGTGCATAATGAGGCTGGGTAGTTGAATTCTTAATTTATAAGGTTAATAGTAGTCATATGTAGCTAGTGGCTTCTCTTGTTTTTGTAGTCAACACCTATATACTGAACCTCTTCTTACAATGGTTGTCCTTGCTTCCCTCCAGCTGGGCTGTAAGCTCTGCAAAGCATCTGGTTTCACTGCCAGAATGTCCCACCACCTAGACCATTGCCTGGCACATGGTAGGTGCTGGCTAGGGTACTGTTTATTAAATGAATGAATGAATGACCAGGGACATTAGTGGTGGCTCGGTGTGGCAGGATTCCTGGGATGGCTCAGCAGGATGAGAACTGGAACCTCAGCCTCCCTCCTGGCAAGCACCCCGTTTGTGCTGCTCACAAGCCCACATCTCACTGTTACCTCCTAACTTAGCGACAGTTGAGAGATAACAAGGCCACATGCCAGTTAGTAGAGAGCTGGTTTCTTTCTCTTCCACCTCGGTCTGGAGTTTCACACATGACCAGTTGTGTTTGAAGTACAGGAAGGCGATAAGGAGTTCGCCCTACCTGATAAGCCTTGACTGGAGGAGAAGGGTATTTAAAGGCTCTGACCCAGCATCCATACATGGCTTTCTTCACAGTCTAGCTCTTTCTAGTCATTTGTGTAAAGCTTTGCCTAGAGCCTCATGGGAAACTGGAGGCACAGCGAGGGGTAGTGGTAGATTATTTGTGTTCTCCAAACCAGGGGCTCTTCTGTCACTCCTCACACTTAGTGATATCTTGTCTCCAGCTCATTTTTAGGATTGCACATTACCTTAATCTTCAATCCTTAAACTTATAGTGAATGCTGGTTTAAAAGATGTGCTGGTAGAATGCATGGGAGTGTATACCTCAGAGCCAAGCCGCTGACTCTAGTAAATCCCCGCACAGCTGCCTGCGCTGCTCTGAGGTGAGCTTGAAGACTGCTCGACCAGATTCTCTGAGAACCACTTCAGAGGAAAAACACTCCACAGACTCAGCTTGCTCCAGCAGTGGCCATAAAAGTTCCTTAGTTCAGAAAACCTTCATAGATGTTGACATTATTCCCAAGTAAAATAGATTCTAACTGGACCTGGCTCACAGAGATGGCGTGTTATCCTCTCTTATACTCTGTACTACAGTGTTCTCTGTGCCTCAGAAACACCTAAGCAACAGTTTCCAGAATTCACAAGCCCTGCCTCACCTGTTGACTCGAGCTCCTAGATGATTTTCACGTCCTTAATATAAATCTGCTAGTACTAAGGAAACAATAGTGAATATGCTAAATATAAAATAGCTGAAGATTTAATGGTAGCAAAGGCAGAGAGAGACTCGAAACTGAAAAGAAAGGTATCGTGGGTAGTGAGTCTAGACAGTTTTTTCAATCTTGTAACTTTTTCTTACTGACAGAGAAGGTAGACAACAAATTCACCACCTAATTAGAAATATCAGGAAGTGAGTGCCTCTTCCTGCTTGTAAGGGTCAAAAGAAACATGGGAAATCTGCTAAAATCAATATAAAGTAATAGTTATGCTGGTTTTTGTTTGTTTATTTGAATGTTTAAGTGAGCAACTTTTATTCATAGATTATTTATGAAAGTATCTCAAGATAATGCATGAAACAAGACAAAACACCTATTAAGACACTATAAAATGCCGGAGTGTAAGACAGCCCCATTTGGCAGGGACTCTCCACCCTGAGAACCAAGATAGAGTCTGTCCTCCTCCACACCTAGCCCCTCTGATACGTGCAGTACGTAAGAAGTACAGGTGCTGCAGGCTGTGAGAACGGGTTAGCTCCACTTCTGCTTGTTTCCTGCCCATACCTTTGCTGGAGTGTATTGTTTTTCCTTCAAGCTTGAATTTAGATGTCTGTGTCTTGGTGAGGTTTTTTTCCTGTCTAGACCAAACAAAGGGAACAGGTTTAGGAAGTTCTTGAGTTGGTTTTAAGAACTGGCTGCCTGAGTGAATGTCATCTATTCAGTGTTCTCCTCCATCTTCTTGCATAGAAACTAGAGTGAGGGTGTCATGGCGAGAAGCCTGGCACGCTGAGACTGGGCCAGCAGCACTGTCCTCTGCTGCTCTCCCTCTGGGTCTTTCACTGTGGCTGTTATTTGCCTTCTGGTCAAGGAAGAGCTTCCCGCAGGAACAAGTGTACTGAACTGACCTTCCCTCTACCTTTAACACAGAGCAAGACCAGTTCTTGAAAGAGCAGAGACTTCCAGCTCTCTTAATGTCTGTAACGACACAGTGCCTCACCAAAATCTCCTAAAGGTCAGATATTGCAACCAGCAGTTTCAGGGGAGTTGTCAGTTAAGATGAGCTAGAGTTTTTACTGGTTTAGAACAAGTGTGACAATTACTTAATATTTCAGTGAAGCATTTATTTCTGATGATCCTAAGTCCATAAATCCCTAGTTCCAGTTTGATGTCTGAACTCTGACTTTCTAAAATCAAATCTCTTCTGTAGGTGGCCTACTTTGTGAATGAATAATCCCTGAAGAATGAAGAAGATTAAATATTTTGGAAGTTCTTTGATGAACTTTGATAAGTGGATAAAGTATTTATAATTTATTAAAAAACAGAATGAAGAAAATGTGGTAAACTGTCTTCGTTGTGTTTCTTTTTCTGTTTCTCGCATACCCACATCACTTTCGTTTGGTTTCCTTTTTCTCCTAGTGAGTATAGTAGCAACTCTTGTGCCATGACTTTCTTTTGCTCATTATTGTGACATAGTGGAAATTTATTGTCAGGAGAAAGCAGATTTTTCTTTCAACCAGTAAAATCTCTAAACTTATGTATATAGAAGTTGGAATCAACATCTTTTACCTGTTCAAAATGATGTCACAGCCGAATCATCTCAGTCAAGACTCATTGGCTAGTTGTGGGACCATGCCTGTAATCCCAGCACATAAGAGGGAGAGGTGGGGGGCCTGCAAGTTTAGAGGGATTTTTTTGTTCTCTCTCCAAGAAGCAGGACAGCCAGCTCCAGGACCATAAGTAACACAGATGTGTCGCTCACTCTCCAGCCTGGAGTCAGGAGGCAAGAGGTTTCACATCTATGACCATGGTCAAGGCAGACTTGAAACAACCTACCCTGCTGCCGTTCATCTTTGCCCTTCTCACCCTTAGGCCTGTCGTCTCCTGACTATGGAACCTGCAAGTGTTACATTGTTGCACAGTTGTATGGGAAGTCACAGGCTACCTTACTATCAATGTGCATACCTTCTGTCTGGGTTTGCCCACACATCTGTACCCTATTCTTGGCATGCCCAGCTGGAGAGCACCTGAGCAGATTTTAGACCTCCTTAAACCATTCGCCCCCCCCCCGCTTTTTTTTTTCTTCTTATTTTCTCCTTCTTAGCATCCCCATCAGAGATTTTCTTTGACCCTGTAGTCATCTTTTATGAGATTTCTGGGTTTTTCCAGGTTAGTCTTCCCTCTAGATTAAAAACTTTCCTGGAGGGGATTTTTTTTTTCCATTTCATCTTTGTCTTCTGTTACTACCTCACAGCTTGTCTAAATAAATGCTTACCAACTTAAATCATCAAATGGCGTTACTTCTGGGTTTTCCACTGTGTGCATGCTTTCATGTCTGTGGGTTTCCTCATAAGGACATTACTAACTTAACACATACACTATATTTATTCTTTTATCTCTGTCAACTGGCTTGTTAAATAAAAAGACATAATTTCCTGTTATTGTTAGTGTGATTGTCTATGTACATCAATCTCACACTGACACATAGTTATAATGCATGTATGTAGGTGCTTAGCAATGCCCAAACACATGGCAGACTGGTGTAGTGGAAAATTACAGTTAGACTCACACTGAGCGGGCTTTAATCACCACTCTGTGAGTTTAGACAAGTTCCTTAGCTATCCTAAGCCTTTTTCTTCTATTTAAAAGCAGGGGGACTGGGATATACAGTAAGATCCTGTCAAAAAATCAGAATAATATGTTATCTTGTTAACATTAGAAAATGGTAGCTGTTTGGTAAGTGTTAGTCCTCTGCTCAGTTCATCTCAGGAGGATAGACAGGGACAGTGGAGAAAGGAGCAGGGGTTAGTTAGTTGACCTGCCTGTCTCTTTAAAGGGTCAGGGCCAAGCCTATGGGCTGTCTTGCTGACCTGCTTTGAAATTCTATCTCAGCCTTGGTGGCTTCTCTGTGCCTGCCCAGTGACAGCTGGCAGGGACTCCAATCCCAGCAGGGAGCCCCTTTGCCTGAAGCACCAACAGCTGCTGCTAGCTAAAGTAGGCAAGTTGGTCGGAAAGCATGCAGATGGCAAAAGGCAGCATATGGAAATTCCCACCCTCCACTGAACACGTGATGTCACAGTCACACCTATAACCCCAGCACTTAGAAGGCCAGGCAGGAGGATTCCCAAGAATTCCAGGACAGCCAGGTCTGAAGTGACACCTAGGCAATAAGTAAATAAATTAAATCCAAAGAAAATTCCAGAAAGGCATCCAACACCCGAAGCCTGCTGTGAGAGTCTTGTGGTGCTTTGTTCTTCAGATGCCCCTTTCTGTACCTCTCTCCAGAGACAGGGAAGTGTGAAGCCATCTGCAGATCAATCGATTCCAATTAAAAATTTACAATGTCTTCCTTTAGCATGGCAAGAACTTTCTGACTTCTGTAAGTATGCTTCTCCCTCTCACCATGAGAGAGAAACTGCTCTCCACCTCACGCCTCAGCTCTGCCCTCCCCATGCCGCCCTTCTTCCTGGGTCATGCTGTTCTTGAAACTTAATTTGGTAATTTGTTGCTGGCATCAGCAGAGTTGCCCTTGTTGTTTGCAGTCTCTCCCTTACAACGTGACGTTTAGCTCACAGTGTGCACTGAGTGTTGAGCTGGAGGCTTCGGCACCACACTTAAGTTCCGATTTCTCCTCAGTGTTACTGTGTTCAGTGTGTCTCTGTGGAGTTAGGATTCAGATAGTTCTAGGCAGCCAAGCACTCTCTTAAATCTTTGGAACAATAGGGTGAAGGTGCTCCTGACCCCAGGAGCCAGGATGGAGACTCAGCAGGTCCTCCAGAAGCCAGGCGATCAGGTCTCTTGGCTTTAACGTTTGCAGAGTCCACATTTACTTCTTGGCAGTCCAAAGTTGATCCCCCAGCTTCATTTAGACGTTCCTTGAAAGTCATCAGACATCTTAGGACAGTGGAGTCTAGAGTCATGGGTCTAGTTCAGCACTTCTGCTTACTGTGAAGCCTGCTTAAAACAAGAGTATTTCGTTTGACGGTTACGAGTTCAAATCCTGACTTTGCTGCCCCCTCTGTGTTGGAACATGTTGCCTCTCGGCTCTAAAACAGTGATGACTGAGGAATGTGTATATGCATGGCTCAGTGGAGGTCGAATACCTAAGGAGTATTTGTTTCCTAGACAGTCATTCTATTTTGAGGTTATTGTGTTACTGTTGACTGTTACTTTGGGCAGATATTTGCAGAGGGGAGTCAACTCAGAGCTGAAAGGGCTGCTTTACACAGCTGCTTTTGTTGAATGAATGTCCTATTACCACACAATAATGTTTGCTGAGTGTCTTAAACCTTTCGTGGGGCTTTCCGGTTCTCCCTGCCAGTACCCTTTCTGTTAATAGTCCCAGGCATTCCCACTCTGAACTGTCCTACCTCACACAAATCCCCAAATCCTCCGGACAGGACATCTGCACTGTGTCGTGCCTACTCCATGCACCTAAATTCCCTGCTTGCTTTTCCTTTGACCCTCCCTGCCGGTTTCTGTTGACCCGGGGTCTTATCTTGTCCTCTGGAGGTATGCTAAGTACTGTGCCAGCCTGCCTGTTTGCCTGGCCTGTTTTCTTTCACTGCCAGCACCTCTTGGATTCCAATTCCAAACATGGTATCCCTCTGGGGTCACCCTTTCTTCCGGTGCCAAGAGATCGTGCATTCCAAATGGAACACAAGTGTGCCTCTCCTGCTGGCTCTCCACTCCTCCTCATTCTGCCCGGGAACAACGGAGAGCAGGACGTGGCTGCTTCGTCCTGCGTTGCTGAAGTTTGTGGTGTGGAGTTCCTACTTCCTCTCAGGACAATGTTTGCTTTTCACTAAGAACTAAATATGAAGACTATCCTAAGAAAGCCGGAGCCAAAGAAGTTTACCAGAGCACTGTGGGGAGAACAAGAGCTTTGCTGAGAGAGAGAAAGGGGGAAAGGAAGAAGGAAAAGAAAAATCCCAAACAACAAACAGGTTTCCAAGCTTCCATGAAGTGTACTATGCTCTGGCGTCCTTTCTCAGAGCCACCGGAAACATTGCTATCAGCAAAGGTAGTGCTGGTGGTGAGAAGCCACTTGGGAGTACAGATTAACTGATTTTTCCCCCAGTTTCCTTTGTGGAGACCGTATCTGAGCCTGCAAAGGCCTTGCAAGCCCCAAGGATGAGCGCCAACGGCAGCTCGGTGGCTCAGCTCCTCTGGCAGCGGCCTGTGTGCAGTAGCTGGAAGCAGGATGTGGAAGGAGCTCTCTACCACCTGGCCAACTGCTTCTTGCTTATGGGCTTCATGGCAGGCAGTGGAGTATATGGATGCTTCTATCTTTTCGGCATCCTGGGCCCAGGCTACCTCTGCTGCGTGCTGTGGGGCTGGTTTGATGCCTGTGGGCTAGACATCGTCCTTTGGAATGTCCTCCTGACAGTGGCTTGCCTGCTTCAGCTGGCTCACCTGGTATATCGAGTACGGGTGAATACCCTCCCGCAGGAGTTCAACCTCCTCTACAGGACACTGTGCCTGCCCCTGCGGGTACCCCTGCAGGTCTACAAGGAAATTGTGCACTGCTGCCATGAGCAGGTCTTGACACTGGCCACAGAGCAGACCTATGCTGTGGAGGGTGAGACACCCATCAACCGCCTCTCCCTGCTCCTCTCTGGCCGGTAAGCTATTCTGTGTTGTCCGTGTCTGGAATCTCCCCCCCATGCCCACACTTCCTATTCCCTAGTGTCCCCTTCCATTTCGTGTCCCCTTTCATCAAAGGACGGATGTGGAAAGTCAAACAAACCCAGAATGATTTTTTTTTCCCTAGGAGTGACTTTGGTTCCTCTTTCTTGACATTTTCCAAGAGGAAGTTAGATCATGAGGCAATTTCTATACTATCAAGGGTTTCTACACTATCAAGGGTGACTGTGTTTACTTGCCACCAGAAGGGCTAGTGAGGCCAGACCCAAAATGGATAAACACACATATACACATACACACACATACACACATACACACACCAGTGTGCACTGACTAAAGTATAGCAACCTCTATGAGCATTAGAAAAGCGACCATTTCAGTAAGATCAATGTGTTCCTTCCATATGCATTTAACACTTGCAAAGCACCTACTGTGTGCAGGAAATGAAACAAGAAAACCCAGGAGGTTTCCAGTGACTCCTGTTCCCTGCCAGGGCATCAAGGAAATACCATGTTGTAGTTGAGATATCCTATACAAGCTCTGGAGTGTAGCCCACATACAGACAGCTGCAGAGAGGAGCTAGGCCCACCTGTGTTCCCAGGCCCATTGTTCTACTGAGAGGCTGTACTGTAATCTGAGGGCTCATGGTGACAGAGGAGTAGTAATGCCCACATATGTCTCACTGGGGACTCAGGGGAGACATGTGCCTCAGAGGAAGAGGGAGAGTTGGACATTGGCTGGCTTCAGCGTCAGAGTGTGTCTGTCCAGTTAGCCTCCATGGCAACAGTGGCCGTTGATGTTCAATGAGAAACCACCATGGGGCTCTGTGTGTCACACTTTGTAGGCATCTGTGCATTCTTTGAAACATTGACTCATAGCACCTGACGGCAGACAATCCCCTCCATCGCCTTGCTGGAGATCAACCATGTGTTGAAAAAAGATGATAATCAGGACATTCTGATTACAGGAAAAGATAGGGAAAGGGAAAGATGAGGAGGGGAAAGGAAGAAAAGGGGAGGGAAGAAAGTGAAAAGAGGAAAGGGAAGAAAAAGGAAAGGGATGAAGGAAAGGAAGGAAGGAAGAAAGGAAGGAAGGAGAGGTGGGGGAGAAATGAACTAAGATGGTCAACTACACAGTGGTTGTTCCTCGGTGTCCACTACTCCACGCCTAGAAGACAAACAATGTACGGAGCATGCTCATTCATGGACACATGCTATTTGCTCTGCACGGCTTCTCTGCTGAGTGCAGGGCACCGAGGCTAGCAGAGGCTGGCCTCTCCTGTGTATGGTGTTCATTCGGCAGAAACATACAGTTATATGGCTCTGGTGTCTTGTGACAAATTTACTGTGAGTTTGTATAAGACTGAGTCCCCAAGAAGGAGAAAATGAGGCTTGTCTTTCTATATAGCTTTTCCTAGTTGATGCTTCGTGTAGCATCAGCAGTTAGAAATCAGGTTTCCCCTTGATTTTCAAGGTCTGGGTAGGGCCTGTGTCACTGTTCTTTTTGACTTGTTGCCTTTCCGTGCCATCCTGTCAACTTTGTTGAGTGGACAAGAGGGAGACGGCTTCGTGTCTATGGCTGGGCTTTGGTTTTCAGAGAGAATCACTGCATCTGGGTTAATGTGATACTAAACACCTCTAGGTGCAGAAGAAACTCCTGTTGTGCCAGGAAGTGCAGGCTCTTGTACAGCTCACCCTGGGCTTTGGGGAGTGTCCCCTGGAACCCTTTGCTCAAACCCCAGAAGCGCTTCTGTTTGGTTTTGATATGGGCAGCCAACCCTTGCAATACTCAGAAAACAAAGTGACTTCCTCAAAGCCTGTCACCCTGCTGAACTATGCTCACTCTTGGTTTCATAGAGGATGCAATGCACCAGCTCTCACATGCACAGCCCTCCAGAACAGGCAACTGCCCATGACAGTGAAAGGGAACGATCTGCTGCTCATGTGATCATGGAGGACACCAAAGATACAGCACAATGCTGAAATCCACTTTGGTGTACCTATTGGCCTGCTTAGACATTAGACAGACAGTGTCACATCTTGACAGCATGCTTTGGGAGCCAACTTCCTTACCTGAGGAGATGAGGAGGAAAAATGATACATGTCACTGGCTTCCTTCTCTCCTGGCGTCTTCTTTTCTTAGAGATGCTTTTTCTTCACACACACACCTTTGCTCTGTTCGTCTTCCCTCCCCCCTCCCTTCTATTCTCCATCCCCCGTGCCCCAGCCTTCTTTGGATATTTTTTAAGAGTACTAAGACCCAGTGTTAGATGTGACAAGCATTGTCTTGAACTCATGGAGCTTAAGCCAATAATAATTATGTGCCACAGTGATTACTCATGGACCCAGCATTCCCAAGGGGAAATAGTAAATGTAACTTCTAGGTCTTTATTTTCTGGGAGGTCAGATACACTGTCTCAAGGAGACGGCCCAGCCCTGAGAGAAACTAGTCTAGCTAAAGACAGCATGTATGAAGGCCCTGTGGTAGGAGAATGTGGCCCTTTATTTCCTCTTGCATCTTCTAGGATATATATATATATATATATATATATATATGTATCTGTATCCTGGTCTGGCTTAATGACTAGTAATAGTCTTCAGTGATGTGCATGCTCACACATCTATCTAGGCGTTCATTTAGGGGAGACTAATATCCCATTGGCCAGAACTTAACCCCTTGGCTGATCCTAGCAGCAAAGGATGTAAGAAGGCATAGTCTTTAGCTGTGTAGCCACACATACAGTTAAAACTCCAGCGGCCTGGAGGAAGAGGAGCAGAAGGTATTTGAAAACAGGCTCTCTCATTAAACTCCCCAGATCACTGCCCATCTCTACCCTTACCTGCTCATCATAGCCTGTTTATCCTTAAGAACTCAGACGGAATGTCATCTTGAGAAGTCTGTTCCCTGCAAAGGACCAGGCTCTTCCATCCTCCTCTTCTGTGAGCCCTCTCCACCCCAGTACTCAGCACACTAATTTGTAGCCATTTAGTTCTTCATATGCTCGAGGCTTCCACTCAGCTGTGAACCTCTGGCTGCAAGGGTCCGATTATACCACCTCTGCAGCCCTCGGTCTTCAGGAACACGGGAGGTTCTGTGAATAGTGGTTTAGTGAGAAAAGCTGCAGAAGTAATGGAAAGCCCTCTCTCTCCAGGTGATTGAGTGTCCACAAGGTGTGCTTGTTCGTCTCCTCCTTTGCCCGATATACCTCGCTTTAAAAGAGGCAGATGTGAAAACTCGAGTTTTCTGGGGAATGGAGGAAAAGGCCCAGACTGGATCTTAATCTATGTCTAGATGTTACACCACATCCAGAAACCACTCACTTTTTGTAGGCATACAGCTGGTGTGCCAGGTACCATACCAGACCCTCACAGAATGCAGGCCCCTTCTCTGAAGGGGCAAAGCACCAGGGTGGGTGCTGACCATAAGTCTAGAGATCCAGCAAACAATATTAGTGGGGTTGCTTACCCCGAGATGTAAAAGCAAGCCTGTGCTCATAGGAAAGGCCAGAGCAGTTGCTTAATGGGTTGGTAGTGTGGAATAATCATATTCATAATTTCTTAAAAATTAATTAGAATTCCTGGTCACAGCCACAGAAACCCACTCTATCTAGCTGATGTGAGGTGGGGTCCTTTAGAAAAAGAAAAGGATTTCTCTTAAAACTTAAAGAAAGGCATGCACCTAGGCCTCAGGCTGGAATAAGATAAGAATCGTGCCTATTGTCTATTCTGTATGACTTAGATTCTTCTGTGGCCAGTTGGGGCTCATCCTTTTGCAAAGTTGGGGTTCCATTATTTGAGAGACAAGGTTCTTAAACACAGGAGTGTGTTAGTCTAACCAATGTGTGTTAGTTGTCTCTGCCCAAGTCACAAGTCACAGTGACTTAACTCCAGTTCTGAAGTCTCAATGAAGCTAGAAGAAAGGCATTGGGATAGGAGTGCATGCCAGGGCCATTAGCGAGTGAGGTGTTTAGGATCTTGTGTCCTTGTGCTTGGTGAAGGTAGAGAAGGGGTGATGTTGGAAGTGTCCACCACCACCTACCCAAAACTCCCGTACCATGACATCATAGTGCGAGAACATGGACTCTGTTTTGTTGCCTGGCAGCCATGTGACCTTAAGCCCATCATGCAGTTTTCCTGACCATCTGTTTTTCTGACAGTAAAACTCAGAAAGAAAGAAAAACCAGCCTATCCCACATCACCTCGACGACTCAGTGGGCAGGCACATGTGAAGCATCCGTTTGCCTTCCTCACATGCGATCTTCTTTCTCTTGCAAACATGAGCTATCCTGAGCACTGGTCCTCATGCAGCCTGCCTGGAAGGGGAAAGGCAGAGCGGTACCCCCCATGGCATCAGGGACATGTGCATCCATGTTTGCAATATGGCAGGCCCACACCACACGTGCTCGGGGTGTGATTAATGTGACTGAGTAACTGGACTGGCTGTTAACTATATTTAATTTTAATTAATGTAGCTCTCAATTGAAATAGCCACACGTGGTTGGTACAGAGCCAAGCCCCAGCACAGTGGTTTGCATCCTGAATACATAGTAGAATTGGGGATAGTTTTAAACAAATAATGTCTATAACTCACCTGCAGAGATGTTTTTTAATTGCTTTGAGATAAAGCTCATACCTAAGGGAGTTTTCAGGAGGTTTCCTTCCTTCCTTCCTTTTTTCTTTTTTCTTTTTCCTTTTGTTCTTCCTTTTCTCCTCCTCCTTCTTTGGGGTGTGTGGGGTGTTGGGGGTGGTAGTGGTGATACGGGGTCTCACTCTGGTTCTTTCTGCTTTGGCACTTATTATGTAGGCCAGGCTGGCTCACACTCGTGGCAATCCTCCAGCCACAGCCTCCCACCTGTTGAGTGGCCACCCATGAGCTCATACACACATGATCTGCTACGCTAGACTCATGTACACATAAGCCATGCTGCTAGGTCCCCAAGTGTTAATACTGACTCCCCTCCCCAGGACTCTGGTTCTGCACTGTGGAACAGAAAACCATGTCCAGGACGAGGACCGTGCAAGCTTCCATGTTTAGTCGGGCCATACCTGCTCTGGCTCCCACACTTTAGCTGAATATTTCTGCGGGAGGGTTTCAGCTGCTCAGCAATAGGAGCTTCAGCAGAGAGCAGTTATTGTCCTTTCCTATTCAGTCTCCCTCTCCTTTTCTCAGGGTTCGAGTGAGCCAGGATGGGCAGTTTCTGCACTACATCTTTCCATACCAGTTCATGGACTCTCCTGAATGGGAATCACTGCATCCTTCTGAAGAGGGGACCTTCCAGGTAATAAGAAGCCCTGTGGCAGCACAGTCAGCTGTCACTGCAAGCCCACAGCATTGCTACCTCTCCCTTCCCCTCTCTTCCATCTGCCCTTTGACCACCACCAAATGTGATGCTAAGAGTGGGCGGGATTATAGCCTCTGCTTTCTCCTCAAGAAGAGTGTCTAGGCTCCTGGGACTGGGGAACAGGGGAGGGTGGTTCTTGTCCCTGACAGGAAGTCATGTCACTCATGGGCCTACAACTCTTCCAAAAGACTAATGCCCACAGGATAAAAAAAGCTAATCCTCCTTAGGGTAACTGAAACTCTTAGCAGCTCCAGCCCTCCTGGTACACACTACTTATAATTTGACCCTTCTATTGCCCTGTATCTGAAATGCATACTAAACAAACCGCCATGCTCCCCAGAACTCTTCTATGAGGGCTACCCAGGTTCACCTTCTGGCCTCTATGCCTCACAGCTTCCTGCAGCCACCTGCCCATCTGAGCACTTCCTTTGCCTACACTGGCTGTGTGCACACTGCTCTCTATTCTGATGGTGTGGCGGCATCGTCATCTCTCTGTCTCTGTCTCCACACTCCCAAGACAGTCCCAAGAACAGTTTTTGCTGAACTGGTTGCCCACGAGCAGTTGGTGTCTCAGAAGACTCTGTGGGTCACTCACAGACATGAGCCATGGGGGAACATGGCCACTCAGCCCCTGCTGTCCCCCCTGCAGTCCTTCACACTTGTGGGTCTGGGTTGCTGATAGTTAGCATGTGGCACACACTGCATTTTTATTGCCTCCCTGAATCATACAATGTACTAGATTGGAGATAACTGTTCCTATATTTGACGGATAGGGCAGCTAAGGCCCCAGAGCATCATGTACTCAGCTAGAGAATAGAAGAGCCAAGCAAGAGCCTAAACCATCAGAAGAGTGGTCCGTTCAACCCTCTCAGGGACTCTGCCAGACAGTTTGCTGTCCTGGGGTCTGCGTATCTTCTGTGATGTCTACCAGAGAATCCTTTAGCCAGCGTATGAGCTAACCCCGGAACAGACACATGCCAGACAATGCCACTGTCTGGGCCTGCTTCCGTCCTAATCCCAGCTCTGTGGTGATATTGTCAGAGAAGCAGTCTTGCTGCCACTGCCAGAGCCTCTAGCCACTGACCACTCCCATCACAGAACCTTTGTCCCATCTCCACCCTCTTTGCCCAGAGGCATTCTTTGGGAACTCCCTCAGGCCAAGAGAATGACAGAAGAGTGGCTGGAACTGTCCAGAGCAGGCTGTGGCATTGACAGGGAGTAGCAGGTGGGTTAGGCTCCAAAGGAAGGGCTGTTACCCCAGATGGCCTCTCTGCCTGGAATGTAAGCATGCTCATATTCCATCATTTATATCCTGAGTGTTTGCCTCATTTAGAAGCAATGAGATCCACACCCTTGCTGTTGGCTGTGTAAAGTCCCATTTCCTCTTTGTAAATATCAAATGTTGTTGCGTTATAGTTCATCTTGACCTTGCCTCTGACATGGCTTTGTTGATTGGAAGAACAATCCTGGTTCCTGCCTAAATCGTAACTCACAGCACATTTCACACAGATCTCAGCATCCCATCACACCCCTCGACCACCCAGTACACCAGACCTTGCTGGCTGCAGGCCCTGTGGTGCTCATTATTCATCAAGAGCAGGGCACAGGCGCATCCCACAGAGTTCATCATAGCCTCCAATCTGCAACCTGTGTTACTGGACTCGTGTCCCATTTAGGTATGCTCTCATAAAGAAAAAGCTTGGCACTGTATCAAAACTTTATTACAGACAGTCCTGTATGCATGTGGGTACCAATCAAAAAGTAGGTTTCTGGGGGTTAGGGTCATGGTACAGTAGGTGAATGTCTGCTGTGCAAGCATGCGAGCCTGAGTTAAGCACCCACAAAAAAACAGGGCGTGGTGATGTGTTCTTGTAAGCCCAGCTGTAAAAAGCGCGGAATAAATATAAAGGTAGCTAACCATGAAAGTAAGGCAAAGAAAATGATAGTTATTCTTTAAAAACAACGGAAGCAGTAACAGCCTACACAGGAACGCCCATGCTTGCTGTGTCTGGCCTTATGGACATGGATTGCATCTAGGTCAGGCCTTCCTCAGGCTCATCTGCTCTCTGCCGCCTGACACTGGTTTCTTGTCTGGGACTTGCTGATAAAGACATTTAGGGCACAGCCTATGACAGAGTGTGAGAGCCACTCACTCAGCCGTTGGTCATGGACAGACTGTGAGTGTTCTCTTCAGAATTCTGTCAGAAGGCAACATGCCCAGACATGAGTGTAACGGATGTTCCACAGCTGGTACAGGGGCAAACCTGAAACCAGCACCCAGCTTCTGGCCCTGATGACTAATTTAGGGCCCTGTTAACGATCAGATGATGTACAAAGCTGTGGACAGTAGGAGTGGAGGAGAGGCACAGCGGACACGGGGGACGAGGAGAGGGTGTAATAAGTAAAGTAGGCAAGGTGAGAGCTTTTTTAAGGTGTGTCTGTTTTACAAGATTTATTTTTAAAACCAAGTGGTTGTGGTGGTGGCATACGCCTTTAATCTCAGCACTCAAGAGGCAGAGGCAGGTGGATATCTATGAATTTGAGGCTAGCCTGGCCTACGGGGTGAGTTCCAGGACACCCAGTGCTACACAGAGAAATCCTGTCTCAAAAAAAAAAAAAAACCAGATTTTTTTTTTAAAGTGTGTGTGTGTGTGTGTGTGTGTGTAAGGTTTATTTTAAACAGTGTGGGTGGAGGGGAGTATGCACACATGAGTACAGATACCTGCAGAAGCCAGAGGTGGTAGATCCATTGGAGCTGAAATTATCGGCAGTTGTGAACTGCCTAGTGTGGATACTGAGAATCAAACTTAGGTCCTCTGCAAGAATAGTAAGTGCTCGTAACCACTCAGCCAACTGTCTAGCCCTGAGAGGCGAGAGTTTAAGGGGCTGTATGTAGTCTCTAACAGAGAATGCTTTGAAACATATTTCATAGTCAGTAAAAAAGCATTCAATACAATGCCTGGCACATACTCAGAGCTCAGTAAAGGTTAGCCTTGATGGCTGCCTTTACCACTCACAAACAAACACACTGTAGCCCCGTTAGCCAAAGGGTCGTATTAGCCAGATCATTCAAAATTGTCTAAGTTTATTCTCTATTCTATACTATCCTTGGAACGATTCCATTTTAACCTTAGCTTTGCTACTCATCTTTTTTGAGACAGGGTCTTACTCTGTAGCTCAGGTTATCCTAGAATCACTATGTAGCTCAAGCCAGCTTCCAGGTCTGGTCCACTCCTGAGTGCTTATAAGACAGGAGCCAACATGCCCAGTTCATCATTTGAACATGGATTATGGCGTCCTACTGTGTGCTAAGTACATGCTGTTGTCTTTTTGTTCTGCTGGCATAATCTAGTTTTCATCCTGGGCATGGTGAATACACAAACATTCCTCTGTCCTTAAATAACTAAGGAAGACCTGATTCACTGCTCCTGAGTTTCTTTCTCTGTGCCTTTATATTCCTCCTCGGGTCATGAGATCCTTTGGTTTGTAACCAAGAGCAGATTCTGAGACCTGAACCCCAGTGCTCTGCTGTCCACCTGATACAGTTTGGCATGCTTAATCTCTAGCCGTTTCTCTCAATAAACTTTTCTCCCCAGCCCTCTTAGTGACTGTGTCTCGGTGCGTGGTTCTACACACACACACACACACACACACACACACACACACACACACACATACACACACACTGGGAACTCAACCCTGGGCCTTACACACGTGCTCAGCCACTTTACCACTAAGTTATCCCCTTCCCAGACCTTGATTTTCTCCTCTAAGGTGTGCATGCCCCGTGTCAGGAGCTGTGGTCAGTCCCTTGCTCAGCTGCCCCTCACCTCCTGGAACCTCATTTGCATATCTCATCTCCTCAGTTTTGCAGTTCCACTGTTGATAACAACAATGGCTGCCAAAGATTCTGAGTAGAATGACAAGGGGAAAGGGGATGGGGGGGGGGACTTCCTAATGCACTGGAGAGTGGTGAAGCTGGCCTTGAACTTGTCACCCTCCCACTTGGGTCTCTAGTAACTGGGATTACAGGCATAGGTCACAAAGCCTTAAAATGAACAGTCTTCAGCTTGACCTCTCTTCAGAACGCTAGGAAGCCTCCCCCTCTTTCTCGACATTCTATTCAGAATCTTCCTCAGCCATTGCTGTTATCAACAGTGGAACCTTAGAACCGAGGAGATGGGATATGCAAATTGAGGTTTCAGGAGGTGAGGGGCAGCTGAGCAAGGGGCTGACCACAGCTCCTGACATGGGGCATGCATATTATAGTGCATACAAGAAGCCTGTCCCTGGACTTTGTCCCCAGCTCGGCCATAGAGAGCTACCGTGTCAAATAGCCGCCTGTTTCTCTGCACTTTAAACCTTTCCCTCTCTGCTCCTAACCCCTTAGGTGACGCTGACCGCCGAGACCGAATGTAGCTATATTTCCTGGCCCCGGAAAAATCTTCACCTTCTTCTGAACAGAGACCGATATATCTCCCGCCTCTTCTCAGCCCTGCTGGGCTATGACATCTCCGAGAAGCTCTATACCCTCAATGACAAGCTGTTTGCCAAGTTTGGGTTACGCTTCGACATCCGCCTTCCCAGCCTCTACCATGTTCTGAGTCCCTCAGCCTCAGATGGAGGACCAGAGTCTGAGAAAGATGATGAAGAAGCCCTTGAGGCAGATGTGTCCCCTGCTCAGGCCAGGCCCATCTGCATCCTGCCAACACCCTCTTGTTCCGGGCCTCCAGCTACCACCAACTTCCCTGTGTCTCTCCCCCGGGCCAGGATGCCCAGGCCTGACAGTGGCACCCTGGGTGAGGACTCCACCAGTCTGGTGCTGGAGGATTTTGAGGAGGTTTCGGGATCAGAGTCATTTATGGATTATAGGAGCGATGGGGAGTACATGAGGTGAGGGCGGAACTAACATGGGCACAGACACCGGCTCAGGATCCTATGTAAGTATGCCGAGGCAAATATGCCTTGTTCCTCACACTGCTTTTGAACCCCTCAGAGGATTCACTGCTATAACCCAACCCTGCCTATGCTCACAGCAAATGCATGCGTGGTATGAAACATTGTCTAAACCTACTCATCATTAGTTGTGGTTGCATTGTAGAGAATGGGCTGATTGACATTTAGAGCAGGCCAATGGGCTCTCATCTTTTGGGAGTGGGCGTGACTAGATTTCGCTAATAGCTAAGACGGCTGCTGGGGTTAAGGAGATTTTTGCATGTGGCATGCATTTCCAGGGAAGTGAATGCTGGCATGGTTCTACCGATTGTCTCTCTGGCACACAGAGAGTTCTGGGAAGCAGCTGTTATTGAGTCTTCACTAGGAAGGACTGTTAAAATCAGAGCCGTTGGTGATGGCAGGCAAATAGTCTGGGAAGCTAATGGCCCAATCTTGCTTTCCTCCTGCCCAGTGGCAGACGGTGCTGGTCACTCAGGTGGGGCCCAGTCAGTGCTTTTATTAAAACATTCCTATGACAGATATAGAACAGCTTGGATTTTCCCAGCAGCCCACACTTGTGGGCAGTGGCCTGGTCTTAAACCCAGCTTGACCTCCCCTTGGGAGCAGGATTTCCCTCGTAGGAATGTGTACCAGGAAGGCTGTGTTTGGTAGTTCGGAGAAGTTGCTTTCATGGTCTCCTGATTGATCTTACAGTACTTGGACATTTTCCTCAGGACTCTACCCAACCATGGCGGAGGCTTGGCTTTTCCTGAGGAAAGCCCCACCATCAACCTAGAAGGCATTTTAAGGTTAGGGGTGTACAAAGGAACCCTACACTCTTAGAGAAGCACCCGCAGATGTGAAGAACTGGTCTGGTGCACGGAGTGAATGAGCGCATGTATTTCAAACAAGTCACATTGCTGATGAGAGAAGCAAGAGATATGGACGTTATCCTTTCCTGTGGAGTCATTCCAAGACCGAAACCCAGGATAACTTAGCATACCTTCCTGTTCACTTGTCCTCTTTCTGTCTCTCTATCCCCCATGCTTGCTGACCAGTGTAAACTGTAGGTGCTTCATGCTGTCTAGCCTGCTTCCCCGCCTTTGGTGTGAACTGTGGGTGCTTCATGCTATCCAGCCTGCTTCCCCACCTCTGGTGTGAACTGTGGGTGCTGCATGCTATCCAGCCTGCTTCCTCATCTCTTCAGTTCACAGAGCACTGACTTCTGCTCTTCTTTCTGGTTCTTTTCCATTCCTCCTACTTGTCCCTGTTGTCTTGGATTGTGGCTCTATGTATCCCTCTTGCTCACACTTCACCTTCTCCATCCCCATCTGCCCCCTGACTTCTCCTGTTTTGCTTGGATGTTTAACAGTCTGGTTGTTTTCTTTCCCCTTTGCCCAGTCTCTGGCTTTGCTCTCTCCTCTTCCCTAAGCAACCTTGTGTCTCCATTTTGCTAATTCCAAATCCTAACTCGTCCAAGGAGCTATCTGAGGATAAAGAAAACCATTCAAATAAAGGCCTGAAAACCCTCTATTTAAGGCTTTAAGAATGTTTCCCAAACATCAGGGGACAGGCACCATTGAAGGACACTAGACCTTCTGTGACTGGTTCCATAGTAAAGCAAATCCAGACAGAATATACTCCATGTCTGCCCCAGTCCCATGGCACATTGAACTGGGATCAGAAGACCTGGAAAAGAGAACTGGGGGGCGAGGGTATGAGAGAAATGGACAGCAGGTCCGGAAGTCTGATCGAGCTGTCAAATTTTAATTTTTCCACAGGGGGAGGGGGGTATATACACATAGAAGCAGGATATGGGGAGGGGGTTGGCATAGGGTCTTCTTTGTTTCTTGGGAGCGCAGGTGTTCTCAGGGGGAATGCAGATGTCTTTCAGAACAGGATATTGGCTGGGTGAAGAGGTCACAGAAGAAGCAGGTCACTATGTACCTGTCCATAAGATCTATTGGTCATTTGTTCTTCTATAGGGTGGTACTTTCCCACCAGGGCTACCTATCTACAAGATCTATAGCTATCTGTTCTAGGGTTAGTGCTTTCCCACAGAGACCAAGACTTTGTGTAGGTAGACACGTATGGCTGACTTAGGCCTATGGCTGACTTAGGCCATTAATGTATAAGCAAGGTCGTGCCCAACACATGCCAGCATTAGAAACAACCTTAGCACCTCTGAGGCATCCTTCTCTGGGAGCCTAACTCACTTTGCAAAACCGCAAGATGTCTTGGGGTCCCTGCACCAAGCTCTTCATCTTCACACCCTAGGAACAATCATCACAAGCTGAAATCCTTCTAACTTCTAGCCTTGATGTCATTTTCCCCTATAAGGATGATTCCAAATTATCATGGGATCTTTCTCAGAACCATTGTTTGCCTCCAGGTCTTCTTGTGTGTGTCCCTGTGTTATTTAAATAGCAGAGAAGAAGGAAAGAACAGGTGGGTTTTACTTTCAAACCACAGAGCATTCAGAATAAGGTGAACACATAGTCGTAAGTGGTCATATATTAGACAGCTTCCATGTGACTTCTGGCTGCTTCTCCTTCCCTCCTTGGAACCTACCCTCTGCCTTCCCAGCCTGGTGAAAAGGGCTGGTGGGGACAGCACTTCCAACAACTCAGTAACAAATGGAACTGGGGGGAAGTGGTTTGGTTTCCAGCTTGGCAGATGGCAGAATCCTCTCCCAACCAAGGGGCAGCCTGGGAGGAGGCTGAGAGAGACCACATCTAGCCCTGAGCTTCAGAAGAACTGAGTGGTGGCTGTACCTCATGCTGCCCCCATCTCTTCGTTTTGCCAGAGGCAGATCTGTCATATCCCATTCAGACTCTTCCCTCAGAATGAAAGCTGATGGCTGCCAGCACAGGCAGTCTTCTCTGAGGTGCAGGCTCTGGGGTCTCAGCAGTGGCTGCTCTGCTGGCGGAGTCCCCCTGTGTGGGTGAGGTCCAGGGAAGCAGTCTTCTCCGCACAGGCCTTTCTTCCAGCTCTGCTCCACCAGCCTCCTCTTCCCACCCATCTCTTTGTAGAAATGAAAGTCAGCATCTTACAAAGCCTATGGAATTTCTGTGCAGGGCTTGGGCTGTTTTTCTTCATCATCCATGTCTTAGATAGGGTTCCTATGGCTGTGATGAAACACCATGGCTAAAGGAACTTGGAAAGGAAAGGGATTATTTGACTTACACTTCCACATTGCTGTTCATCATCAAGGAAGTCAGGACAGGAACTCAAGAGGGCAGGAACCTGGAACAGGAGCTGACTCAGAGGTCATGGAGGAGTGCTGCTCACTGGCTTGCTTCCCATGACTTCTTGCTCAGCGTACTTCCTTATAGAACCCAGGACCGCCAGCCCAGGGACAGTACCACCTACAATGGGCTGGGTCCTCCCCCCTTGATCACTCATTAAGAAAATGCCCTGCAGACTTGCCCACAGCTGGATCTCTGGAGGCATTTTCTTAATTGCAGTTCCCTCCTCTCAGATGACTCCAGACTGTGTCAACTTGACAGAAACTAGGCAGCTTAGTCCATGAGCAGTAAGCAGGAAGTAGAGCGCTTTCTTTTGAGCACTCAGGAAGAGGCAGCAGAGGATGGCTCCATCTCTCGCCTACAGACCAAGAGAATGGGCCAAGATAACTTCAGAAGTAACTCCTCCATGACCCCTCCATGTTCCACAGTGAAAGAACTGACAGGCACAACTGCTCATGGTGAGGCATTGGGGTGCAGTCTAAACTGGGGTCTGCTGAGGAAACAGAAACCTCCCAAGGATCCTGAGATGCCTGGTAAACCCTCTGGAGCCGTGCGCTAACATCCTTCTTCTGTTTCTCTCCACAGCTTCTAGAAGTCCTCTCCAGAACTCTTCTCAAGTTATGTCCAGAGCAAAGGCCCCTTTGGCTCCAACTCACACTCCTGAGCTCTAAGGATCACAGAGCTGTTGTCAATGCGGCCAGATGGCGCTCTTCCATGTTCCCTGGATGACCACTTGTACTCACGCCCCTCCTCTTAGCCCTCCAGAAAGATGTGGGGATGGACATGACGTAGAGAAACGCCTTCATGAGCCTTCCTCACAGAAGAAGAGTCCAGAGACACCAGGCCTGACTCCATCTTTTATGGGTTGCAGGACATTGCCAGGTTAACAGCCTCTGAGCCTGGTCTGTCAAGTGAGGCTATGAACTCACGTCACAGGGTGGTTGTGAGGATCCAGTGAGCTGATTGGGTAAAGCACCTATGACAGAGCATGGCGTCCAGCAAGCATGCAATAAAACACTTCACGCCTCTCCCTATGTTGTTGCTTTAAATTATCTGAAAGGATCCAGTGACTTTTACCCATGGTTATTTTAGTCCCAACGTTAATTTTCAATTGAAATAGAAAATTTTAAATCCTAATTGTTCCCTTCAACTTTTAATTTTAAAACACAAGTAACTGTGTCCTGTTTATGAATCTAACATTACATTTTAGTTCTTAAAAGGATTTTTATAAATTGAGCCAATGAGTTTTCCTCCCTCAGATATTTAAAAATGGCTTACAAGTTGAATATATTCGGCTCTCTTTTTATCTGGTTATTTATTTTTGATTGAGACAATTATGTCCCTTCTATACCTGAGGCTGGCCTCGAGCTTGCAACCCTCCTGCCTCCCCTTCCTGAATGCTAGAATCACAGGTGTATATACCATCATACCTTGTTGAATATATTCTACTTTTGTTTTTTCCTCAAAAACTTCATATATGTTCTGGTTACCTGATGCTGGGTAATCCTACCCCTAATACAGTGGCTTCAAATAGTTGTAATTACTGGTTTTCCTCATGAAGTGGGGACTAGCTGGGGTGGCTGGATGGTGTTCACACATCTCCGTGCCCTTTCTCATGGTGCTGCTTTCGGGGCATGCTTGAAGCAGGTGTCATCTCAGAGGCCTCTTCCCTCAGCCTGTCTGGGGTGACACTGAATAAACTCCAATAGCTACGGGCTAACCAAAGGGGAGGCTTGCTCCATCTCCAGGGGTTGGCTCCTGCTGCCATGTGGTCCTCTAGTGTGTGAATACACCATGCTGTCTCCATGCATTCTAACATGAGTAAAGCATCTGGATTGTTTTCGGGCTTCCCGTGGACATCCTTGGACACACAATTTGGTATGCATATATGTGCGTTTCCTAAGCACATACCTGGGAGTGGTATCATCAAGGCATCGGGAACTGAGTGCAGACATGTTCTACTACAGCAGACTCTGCCGAGCAGGTTTAAGTGGTTGTACTAAGTTGTGTTCCTTCAGCGATGTCTGAGCGCCCCTCCCGAGCAGTCGCCATCGCCTTCTCTAACCTTTGCCTTTCGGGTGTGCAGAGCAGCTTTTGTTGTGGTTAAGCTTTCCATTTTCCTGATGAATACTACGGTTGACTACTTTTTCTTTTCTGCTTTTTTCTTTTTCTATTGCAACCCTCCTATTGCTGCCCCCCACACACACACACACACAGCTGGGGTTCAGTGCTGGGGCACCTGGCTCGCTTCACCTCTTCTCCACACTCGGTTGCATAACAGCTGCTCTTAACCATTGAGCATCCCGCCAGCCCCCGCTCTCCTGTCTGGGTGTTTTCTATTATGTAGAGGCTGCTCTGGTTTTTCTGTTTGCTTGTTTCTTTTTCTAGAGATGCTTTAAATAATCAGGTGAAAAATATTCTGTTAGCTTTTACACATTTCCCCGAAATACATTCTTTTTCCTCTAAACAGTCTCTTTTGGTGAACAGTCGTTTGACCTCACTGCAGGATTGGTCTCCCCCTTTTCCTAGGTTAGTGCTCTCTGTGTCATGTTTGAGGATCTGCTCCTGAAGATGGGCCCATCTCATCCCTCTAGATGTTTTACAGTTCATGATGATAGCAGTGTCAGCACGTATTTGGTTTTGGAGTATTGCATGAAGCCAGAGCCCACTTGGGTGCCCAGTTGCCTGGGCATTCATTACTGAAATGGTTATTTTAACCATTTCATTAGCATCTGTCACCACCTTTGTTGTAAGTCAAACGGCCCTGTACCCATAGCTCATTCTGGAGCTGGGCTACTGCTCTGTTTCTTGTAGTAGCCGTGAGCTACATCCCAGCTCTCTCTGTTCTATGTTTCTGTCCATTAGTAATGCTACCTTACAGTAGCCACTGTAGTGTTATAGTAAGCTTTGGTGTCCTGCACTCTAACTGTTCCTTGGGCTATAATGGATATTTTCTTTTACACATCCACATAAGCTGCACAGCCAGCATGTCCATTTTGAAGCATGCGCAGATCAAGTGTGGAAAAGTGTTATCTTTACAACATTGATTTTTTTTTCAATTTCTGAACATAGTTTAGCATTTCGTTCATGTTGTCTCCTTTATTTCCTCACAATCACATTTTTTTTTGTTTTCCTAGTAGATGTCCTTGCATATGTTTGTAATTATTTGATGAATTCAATGTGATTATAAATACTATCATTAAATACTTCTTACTTTCTGATTGTTCATTGCTGCTTACATAATGCAAATAAGTTATGTAACTTCAACTTCCACCCAGTAA